GAGGCAGGTTGTTCCACTGATCAATTGTTCTGTCAGGAAATTTCTCCTTAGTTCTAGGTTGCTTCTCTCTTTGATTAGTTTCCATCCACTGCTTCTTGTCCTGCCTTCAGGTGCGTTGGAGAATAGTTTGATTCCCTCTTCTTTATGGCAACCCCTGAGATATCAGAACACTGCTATTATGTCACCCCTAGTCCTTCTCTTCATTAAACAAGACAAACCCAATTCCAGCAACCATTCCTTATATGCTTTAGCTTCCAGTCCCCTAATCATCTTTATTGCTCTTCTCTGTACTCTTTCTAGAGTCTCAACATCTTTTTTTACATCGTGGTGAACAAAACTGGATGCAGTATTCCAAGTGTGGCCTTACCAAGGCATTGTAAAGTGGTACTAACACTTCACATGATCTTGATTCTATCCTCTGTTAATGCAGCCTAGCACTATGTTGGCTTTTTTGGCAGCTGCAGCACACTACTAGCTCATATTTAAGTAATTGTCCACTAGGACTCTGAGATCCCCCACAGTTACTACTATTGAGCAAGGTACCACCTATACTATACCTGTGTGTTTAGTTTTTCTTGCCTAAATGTAGAACCTTACTTTTTTCACCATTGAATTTATTTTGTTAGATAGTGCCCAATGTTCAAGTCTGTCAAGATCCTCCTGTATCTTAAGCCTATCTTCTGGAGTGTTGACTATTCCTGACAGCTTGGTGTCATCTGCAAATTTGATGAGGTCCCCATCTATCCCCTCGTCCAAATAATCGATGAAGGTGTTGAAGAGCACTGGGCCCAGAACAGAGCCCTGGGGCACCCCACTACACACTTCTCTCCATGTAGATACAGTTCCATTGAGGACCACACACTGAGCATGGCCGATCAGCCAGCTACGAATCCATCTGGCGGTGATGCTTTCTAACCCACATTTTTCTATCTTATCAAGTAATAGGTTATGGTCTACTTTATCAAATGCCTTACTGAAGTCCAAGTAAATTATATCCACAGCATTCGATTTGTCTGGCATGATCTGTTTTTGACAAACCCATGTTGGTTTTTGGTAATGACTTTATTTGCCTGTAGGTGTTCGCAGATTCGTTGCTTGATTATCTTTTCCAGAATCTTCCCAGGTATTGAGGTCAGGCTGATAGGTCTGTAGTTTCCTGGGTCCATTTTTTCCCCTTTTTTGAAGATGGGAACTACATCAGCTCTTTTCCAGTCCTCTGGAGTTCCCCAGTGTTCCAGAATCTTTAAAAGATATAGTTCAGTGGTTCTGAGATCACAGCTGCCAGTTCCTTCAGAACCTTGGGGTGTAATCCATCTGATCCTGGTGATTTGAACTCATCTAGAGTGGACAGGTGCTTACTTACCGTTTTCTTGCCTACCTTGTGTTTCTAATCTGTTTTTTACAGTACTGTTTTTGATAGGTTGGGCTGTTTTTTCCCTTTGTGTAAAGACGGATGTAAAAAACGAGTTGAGTAGTTCTGCTTTCTCCCTGTCACCTTCTTGCTTGTCACCTTTTCTCCCTTTTTTTTTCTTTTTTACATGTTGAAAGAAGCTTTTTTTTGTTATTTTTGATTTCTATCGCAAGCCTTAGTTCATTTTGAGCCTTAGCTTTCCTCACTTCATCTTTGCAGGCTCGGGCTATTTGTTGATATTCTGCCTTAGTTATGTGCCCCCCTTTCCACTTTTTATACTTGTCCATTTTGTCTTTCAATTTATCAGAAAGTTATTTATGCAGCCATGCTGGTTTCTTTTGAGAGTTGTTATTTTTCTTATTCATCGGTATTGTGCTAGACTGGGCTTTTATAATATCACTTTTCAAAATTTCCCAAGCTTCTTGAGTTGTTTTCCCCTTGAGGATTCTCATCCATGGAATCCTTCCCAAGCTCTAAGTTTATTGAAATTAGCTCTCTTAAAGTCCAAGATTCTAGTTTGACTGTGTTCTGTTGCTTGTGCTTACATAATGTTGAATTCCAATATTGTATAATCACTCCCCCCCCCAGATTTCTGTGGCTTCAACACCTTCTATCATCTCATCTCTGTATTTTGCTGATAGGGCATTACCAAGCAGAAATGCATCGGAATTTTGTGATTTTCCAAATGTCTTCTATTAGGTTTTAGTCTAAAAAATACCTTCAGTACCTCTGTAAGCAGGATTTTTCTCCCATACCTCTGTAAGCAGGATTTTTCTCCCAGATTATCAAATACTAATTTCTACAGTTGTTCAATTGCATTTCAGAAACTTCCATACATTAATAAATTTTTTTCTATGTAAGAAAATACTGCAGATTGCACCCCTAAGGTGTTTATGCTCATGGAAAGACTTGATTTAGTGGATGCCTCTAACAGAAGCTGGAAGAGACAATTTCTCCTATTGTCTGTAAACCCCTAAATCTGGCCTCAAATGTTTGAGAACCTCTAGAACAGCATGAGACACAGCATGAAGGGAAACAGTCAACAAATTCTTTACTTTTGTTGAAAAGATTTAATGCTTTGTAATAAGTGGAATGGCAATACAGTACCCATTTGGATCAGAGGCTCCAGGCAACCAGTATGTCTTCCGTGTTTAGATGCAAGTTACCTCTAGATTCCTGCCTTCCTGGACAAATTGGACTAGCTTCAAACCTTGGACAATCCATCTTATAGAAAGGTGTCAGTCATGACAGATTACTTTAATTATGCTGTCATTACACCAAAGGAGGCTGATAGCTATCAATTTTCTTGCTTATTTTAAAAATATGTTGATTTATTTATCACAAAACTGCACTATCAAAATAGATCCCCACAGGAGACAAAAAACAACAAAGTTGAGGCTTTCCCCCCCCCCCCTAGTATTTGTTTTGCATGATTGCAGAGTCTACTTATTATCTGTGTCACCTTGTTCTTACAAGAAAGCTATCAATACATGATACAATAAGATCTTTTGCAGAGTGGTGTGCTGATTAGGACTGAGAGGAATTGACTGGCCCAAGGTTACCCATCTGGCTTTCATGCCTAAGCAAGAACTTGGGTTTCCTCACTCCTAGTCTAGCACCTTAATCATTACACCATGCTGCATTGCAAGAACAAAGTAACAATAAATATATTAAATTCAGCATGTGTCTCTTTTCCTAATTTTCTGGCTAAGAAAAACTACAATAATTATGAATCTCTTACTGTGTTAAAGAATGCTCATGAGAAGTGTTCCAATTGCATAGTGTTAAAAAAGTATTTTTAAACAGTATTCACTGAGAAGCACCTGGAAGAAAGTGTAAAATGCAAATACTTGCTATAAAGTTAATTTTAAAAACAAAAGCTCTGCTTTGGGCAATACACTATACTTTGGATTAGTTGCACAATCACCTAAAGCAATACCTGTCCTAAACTAATAACCTAGTCCTAAAAACTACAATAATTATGAATCTCTTACTGTGTTAAAGAATGAGGCTCATGAGAAGTGTTCCAATTGCATAGTGTTAAAAAAGTATTTTTAAACAGTATTCACTGAGAAGCACCTGGAAGAAAGTGTAAAATGCAAATACTTGCTATAAAGTTAATTTTAAAAACAAAAGCTCTGCTTTGGGCAATACACTATACTTTGGATTAGTTGCACAATCACCTAAAGCAATACCTGTCCTAAACTAATAACCTAGTCCTAAAAATTCAATGAAATATTCCATTTCAGGGAGAAAAATAATGTCTGTATCCTAAGTTACATTATATTAAAGCAGCAAGTATATAATTGAAACTATGGAGAGAGATAAATGCAGTTCACAATATGAAGTCAAAAGGAAAATAGTTTTACATCTAGCTCCTCAGCAATTTGGTAGCCAAAACAATACCTTCATCTGTAAAGTTTGTTCATGCATTAAGATCTTCAGAAGTTCACTGATAGTTCTAAGTATTAGAAATATATTATATTATGCATTTACAAAACAGCAAGCCTTCTATGTGATGGCACATTTACTTTGTAATGTCTTCACAACAGAGAGATAATTTGCTTTCCTTTCAGTGTTATATCGGAACATTCCCTTGTGTTGAGGCATTTTACATATACATTAAAAAATACACCAAAGTATTCATTAGGTTACTTTGTTGACTGAATAGTTCTGATAATTTTTTCTGACAATTTTCTTACTTGCTGTAGATTGTATTTTAAAATAATATGCAAACTATAAGACTGAATTATAAATTTAGAAATGACAGTAAGTAACCCGTCTAGCACTAATAAAGCCAACACTGCTATTTGTTAAAATGGCTCTCATTTATCTGTTTGAAACCAGTGGGTAGCAGTTGTATGAACATTCACAGGCATCTTTCTCAACTACTGTTAATATGGATAAGTCAATAACATGATTGAAATTGTCATTTCCAGAGAGACCAGAAAGATTAATCTGGATGACAGAGTGAAAAAGGTGGTGTATTCCATAGCTGGATCCAATGGTGTGATTATGTTCCATTGCTGATATTTTTCCTGTGGGAGGATTTTTAATCTCTTGCAAACCTGATCCAGAGAGCTGAAAGACACTTTGGAGCAGATCTGGGATCTCACGTTGAGGTGATAGAGCCGAAGTGACAGTCCTGTCGCAGCAGCATGAGTACACGCAAAAGGTTTGAGAATAACATCTGCTAACTGATTGTGGAAGATTTTGTTTATAAAATCATGTGAATTTTCCAGTACCAGATGGATCAGAATATATAATAATATATGACAAATAAAAAGATCTTGCTTCTTGATAAAAGTGAGCAAATATAAGTTCTGTTTGGAAAATTAAAGTTAGTGTGAAACTTTGAGGTGAAAGAGGACACTGCAATGTTTTGTTACAGCAAACGTGCAGTTACTCTTCTACAATGAGACAAATAATCTATCAAAAATATATGCTTACTTTTCTGCACTTACTATACATAAAATTTCTGTAATTGTAATTCGATAATTCCTCAAATGGTTATTTTTCCAGAGAGGAACAAGATTCAAACTTGTAATCTAAATTCAAAAAAAAGGTTACTGGCAATCTGGATACTAACCTGTCCTAGACCAGGCATTCCTCCTCCAAGTCGTAGAAGTCGATCCATATTTCCTAAAGAAACAAACAGATAGCATACCTAGGTTCTAATGTGTTTACCAAACTGTTCTCCATAAAATTCACCTTCAGTCACTCATTATGTCAAAAATATTGGTCGTAATTACAACACAACATCAGACTTCCTGTTAATTAACACCACATATTAATTCAAGAAGCTGTCTTCCATACTAATTAACAACTGCACTTTAAGCGTACTGATTTTGGGTTATCCCCAGTTTTTAAAAAGATAAGCTTTTTTTGTTTAACTCCTTTTTTTATTGCAAAATGCATTTATTTCCTCCTCTGATCCCACCTACCCCCAAAAAGCATCTGCACAGCAAACCAAAGAATACTCAACACCAGCAGATTAATTTCCTCCAATTTATCCAGAACACATCAATATAAAAATAATTCAAAAGTGAAGATTTTTAACATCCTCATTAGTAAGTTCTGTGCTAATTAACTTACAGCTTGTCAGTTAGCATCAAAACTGCATGTGAAAGACACTGAACAGATTAGATTTCTGAATTAGCATCAAAAGCTTTTTTTAATGAACTCATTACACCAAAAGAACACCATAAAGTAAACATTAAATGCCTTTAGTTAAAATATTAAGGGCTACATAGTTGTTGCATATATCATTAAATATGAAATACTGTGGAAAGAAAATGAATCTCATTGTTGTTTGTTATATTGCTTTAATAGTAAAATATTTAACATGCACCATGGTAATATGACTGGAAACATTTTTAATACTATTAGCATGTCACCAAGTGCCGACTTCTGGATGAATAAAAATATCTAGCATTCCTCAATAAGAGTGTGCAAATGATTTAAAGGAGCATTTCACTCAAATTGTTTAAACAGCCCAAGTCTTCACCACTATTCCTATTGGCGAGAATTGCTTGGAGTTGTAGTTTATCTGGTAGGTCCTGGTTCCCACATGTAACCTAGACTGAAAACAATATTCAAGGGGGCTGTCCAAAATCTTTAGGAGATGCTTCTGAAACAATAGGACAGAGGCTGCTCTGCATACACATGCAAGCAGAGACAGCTAGGAGCAGCTTCCAAAGCAAAAGATGCAGCTGCTGCTATGAATCAAGAAATGTTTTTCATGAACTTTAATGCAGTAAGCATGATGGCCTGAAGTTCTTGGTTAGTATCTATCTCTATCTGCATTCTACTCTCTATGTCTTTGGTCTTACCACATTATGTCTAATTGTAGCCAGGCAAATGCAAACTTAAAAATACTAAAGGTTTTCCTAAAGATTAAAAAAAAAACTAGAATTATAATCATGCCCACAGGGCACAATCCAAAAGAATTCTCATTACTTTTAATTAAAGTTAATTATCTCAAGATTATCATCAAGGATCCAATTAATACAATGTGAATATTTCGGTAAAGATCAATCAATAAAAGTTAATTTTTCATCATAACGCATGAGCTGAGCACACAAATAGTTCCATGGCCTATCTCAATATTCTTGATGCTAGAATGACATTGTTTTTTAGCAATTTAAATAGAACTGCCACAAACATCTAAGGAAACCAGTTCATGTACTTAATTTTACACTGTACTCACCTGGTTTTCAGCTTTTTTCCACAATGTTTTTCCAGTTCTTAGTGGAGCCTCCAAGTTTAGATGCAAAGTGAAGCTCCTACTAAAGAGTAACAATTAATCAAGATATCTTTTTAAAAACCTTTATTTTATGTACTGAAATCCTATTTCAACTCTAAGCAAACTTTTACAGTAGAAGAATTTTCTATTAAAAAAAGACAATACTTAATTTTCATCCACACTTTTTCCTTTCCCCCCTACAAAGAGAAGAAACTCCACTATTTATATGTTAAAGACATAAGGGCATGATTTTGTCTTCAGCACCTCCTCCTCTACCTTGCCACAAAGACCACCTCCATTCATAGTTTTATTTTTCTTCTTCAAAAGTGCTATTTTTCCATCCCTCAGTTGTGCTCAGTGGTCCGTCTACAGCAAATTGTTATGAGGTAAGTTTAGTGTGGGGGGCATTTCTTGTTTTACCAGTCACCAGAGGCTACTGCAGACATTCCACCCTGAATTAACTTTTTAGCAGCAGAAGAATCAGGGCTCTCAATGCCAAAAAGCCCCCTCTCCCTTCCTAATCTTTGAACATCACAAGGGGGAAGGAAAGGAAAGTGGATCTTTTCAGTACAGGTAGTCCTCATCTTACAACCATTCATTTAGTGACGTTTGAAGTTACAACAGCACTGAAAAAAGGGGACATGGTCGTTTTTCACACTTACAACCGTGCAGCATCCCCATGGTCATGTGATTAAAATTTGGGTCTTGGCAACTGGCATGTATTTATGACAGTTGCACTGTCTTGAGGTCATGTGACCGCCATTTGTAAGCTTTCCAATTGGCTTCTGACAAGCAAAATCAATGGAGGAAGCCAGATTCATTTAACGACCACATGATTCATTAAAAAATACAGTGATTTGTTTAACAACTGTTAAAAAAAAATTGTAAAATGGGGCAAAATTCACTTAACAACTGCCTTGCTTAGCAATAGAAAGTTTGGGCTCAATTGGGGTCGTAAGTTGAGGACTACTTGTACCAGTTTTCCTAAAAACAAAAACACCCCCCTCCCAAAAAAAATAGGGTAAGTGGGATTTCTGTGATTACTTCCCCAATCTCTGTGAAATTAGTGAACTGGAAACAAATACTGTAAGCCATTCTCCCTGCTTTTCCTGCTTGGGAGAAAGGGTAGGAAACAGGTCTTTTGGTGCCAGTTCTCTTTTGTATAAAAAGACCTGCTTCCTCCCAGAGGTTCAGCTGTACTGCAAGAGTGCCAGGGCCTAAGATAGGAGCTGCTCCTATCTTAGGCCCTGCAGGATTTAAGCCTCAGGGAATTGTTTAACTGTAAGCCCAGCAAACAACTATATGCCACTGAGATACATCAAGGTCTCACAATTCCAGCAGTTTTGCCAATTGATCGATGGACACACACATAAATAAAATAAAATAATAAAATAAAGCAAAGCTACTTCCTGGCAGCACTGTTGGCAGAACTAGTAGCCTTGTGAGGAAGCCATAGTGAAACTACCTACAGCTTCCTGGCAGTATTGTTAGCAGCTCTACAAGTAGCTCCACCATGCCTCTGCCTGCAGAAGAGCAGCTGGTCGCCCTATGATGGGGTTTCAATTTGGCAAATAGTGTTAGAGTTGTTTATTTAAGATACTCAGGCTGTCCTATGTACACTGTGGGCATAATTATTAGGCAAGTTGTATTTTGGAGGATTAATTTTCTTATTGAACAACTACTGTGCTCTTGGTCAATCCAAAATGTTAATAAACCTCAAACCTGAATATTTAAGAAAGTAAAAGTGAGGTTTTGACTTTCTTAGGAGAATATCTATGTGTGCGCAATTATTGGGCAACTATTAGTGTGCAGAACTAGTATGCAACTTAATGAAAAATGAAAAATTGCCCATCTCACTCATTTATTTGCATCTGTTAAAGTGAGAATAAGCAAACAACTCAAAATGTACAAAATAAACATTTCTGACATTTCAACAAAAAAAAAAATCAGTGACCAATATAGCCACCCTCCTTTTCAATAACAGTCATAAGCCTTCCATTCATGGAGTCTGTCAGTTTCTTGATCTGTTGACGATCTACGTATTGTGCAGCAGCAACGACAGCCTACCAGACACTGCTCAGAGAGGTGTACTGTTTTCCTTCACTGTAAATCTCCCATTTAAGAAGGGCCTACAAGTTCTCAATAGGGTTTAGGTCAGGTGAGGAAGGGGGCCATGTCATTATTTGTTCATCTTTAAGGCCTTTACCGGCTAGCCATGCAGTGGGGTACAGTACTTCAACGCATGCGATGGAGCATTGTCCTGCATAAAAATCATGCTGTTCTTGAAAAATGCAGGGGTTTTTTTTGTACCACCGCTTGAAGAAAGTGTCTTCTAAAAACTGGCAGTAGGTTTGGGAGTAGATTTTGAGTCCATCTTCAACCTGAAAAGGTCCAACTAGCTCTTCTTTAATAATACCAGTCCACACCAGTAGCCCACCTCCACCTTCACCTTGCTGGGGTCTGAGTCGAAGTGGATCTCTGTGCCCATTACTGATCCAGCCACAGGCCCATCCATCTGGTCCACCAAGAGTCACTCTCATCTCATCAGTCCATAAAACATTTGAAAAATCTGTCTTCAGATATCTTGCTGTTTCAACTTATGTGTCTTGTTCAGTACTGGTCGGATTCCAGCCTTCTTTACCTTGGCCATGTCTCTGAGCACTGAACACCTTTGTATTCCTGGGTATTCCAGGTAGGTTGCAGTTCTGGAATATGACTGGAGGATAATGGTTCCTGGTAGTTTCACGTTTGATTCTTCTCAAATCTTTGGTATCTTTTTTCTCAACACGTTTCTTGTGACCTTGTTGACTATTTGCAATAAAATGTTTGATGGTTCTGTGATCACGCCTCAATCTTAGCAATTTCAAGAGTGCTGCATCCCTCTGAAAGACTTTTTACCATTTTTGACTTTTCAGAGTCAGTAAAATCTCTTTTTTGGCCCATTTTGCCTGAGAAAAAGAAGCTGCCTAATAATTATGCACACCTTAATATAGGCTGTGGCTCTCCTTAGGCCACGCCCTCCCTCATTACACAAATACACATCACCTGATATGCTTATATCCACTAAGCTTGGAGGTGGAATATATGCATAAAAATGATATGGTCAAAATACTCACTTGCCCAATAATTGTGCACACAGTGTATTGATAGGTGGAAAATTCAATCAAACTATCCCTGCCATATAAGCTGAACTAATTGGACAAGTACCATTCTTATCAAGGTCAAATTTATAAATTAAACTCAACATATTAAAACCAATAAGAGATTTCTTTTGTGAATTATTGAGAACTGAGTTTCCAAACATGGAAGAACAGTTGCCAGAAGAAACATTAAATGTTAGCATTCTATCCTCTATTTAATTGCTACATATGAATGGATATAGCACTCAAGCCACAATTATATATAAATTCTCAGTTGCTGGATTACCTCCTAGCATATTGTAATGTGAAAGATTCTAGCTTAATGTGCTATTCTATTTGAAGCCAGACAGATGTGTTCACTCAGGAAACTAGGCTTAAGCAAAGCATGGATTCATGAGAGACATAAAATATATGAATGTGCATTTTGACTGTTGGTTTTTGACTTAATATGTTAACTGAATCCCATTAATAATAAATATTATTGATAAATTTGGGGTAGATATATATGACTCTACAATTCATCTCAACAGCCAAGATAACTGTAGATCACCATCTATTCTAAATAGTGGATGATTATCAAGTTTCCATAACTATCTAGAATGCCTGCACATTTTTAAATGCTGAATGACATTTAATATTTTACATGACATAGATAATGCTGTTGAATTGTCAAAAATTAATAACTGATGAATTTGAGCACCAAGAACTGTCTACAATAGGACTTCCTAATTACCTTAAGCTTTTTACATTATACATTTCTAGTTTTCATTCTTCATCCAGTCAAAATATCCCAATTATCTTTAATACTTATTATGAAGGCATTCCTGTGTCAGACTCTAAGAGATACATAAGATTGTAGCACAAATTACCTCCAAGCATATTTTTTTAAAATTTGTTTTTCCCAGTCAGCCATTTATCTGAAACAGATAGCTAGTGATAGATTTTGGTACTCAAATTTTGCTCTACTTCCCCCACTTTTTAATTCCCTCATTTTGCTTATTTGTTCAGAAACAAAGTAAAACACATGCTTGTTATGAAAATGCAAATAAAAACACTGAGGTAATTCACTTCAGTTACTACTTTGAAATCAGGGAACTTTATACAGATATATAAATAGAAATCACAAAGCATTTTTATGTAAATCTGAGTAATAGAAAAGTTACTTTTTTTTACCTGTCCTAAATCACTGAGATGGGACAAACTTCACACAACGTACTCCAACAGTAACTGAAAGATAAATACAATATATAATTGAATGTATATCAAAACAAGTTTTAAAGTACAGGTAGACTTCACTTAACAACAGCAATTGGAACCTATGTTTCCATTGCTAAACAATGTGGTTGTAAAGCATGATGTCAAACAACTGCATTGCTTAGCAATAGCAATCCCAGCAGTCTGTATTGACATCCTTAAGCAAAAATCATCAATGAGAACCACCTCACGGTTTTCAGCTGGCTTCCAACAAGCACAGTCAATGGGGAAGCTGGCAGGAAGTCTCAAGTCCTGGGCAGCTTGCAAGTAGGCTTGTGGGTGGGTGACTGCAGTGTCGTAACACAAGCGCAGCCAGCAAGTAATGGCTGATGCTGGGTGAGAATGAGTGGCTGCTACAGGTGCACACTATGGAATACCAGATCCCTAGGATCCCATACTCTATAGTTCGGATCCTTGGGAGAAAAAGTAGTGGGAGGGAAGCGACATACAGGAGCCATCTGCAATTATTGACTTTGATTGAGGGAAGCTGGCAGAGAACCTGGTGATCATGTGACTGCAGGACATTGTAATCATCATAATTGCAAGCTGGTTACCAAGCACCTGGATTGCAATCATGTGACAACAGGGGTGATAGCACAATCAAAACTATGAGGAGCGGTCATAAAGTACAACTTGTTCAGAGCAGTCTGAACTGTGAATGGTCACTGAAGAAGTAACGGTTAACCAAAGATTACCTTTGCATACAGGGCAAGATATTATGTGCAAAAAGATAGTAAATGGAAGTACTTTATTTCTGAATCCTTCGGTTCTATCTGTACATCTGTAGAACTGCATCTGCATTCTTGCATTCACATCTACTTTTTACAGCAAAAGTACAGAAAAATTAACAGAAATTATAATAGAGTTAAATATTGTTGTCACAGCAACAAAAGCAAAAGGCATCCAACAGTTTTCTTGGCAAGAATAACTTCTGAGAAATAACTAGTGAAAATATTATCTATTAAAATATGCTAAATGAACTACAGGTAGTTCCTGTGTTAAGACCATTTGTTCAAAGTTATGGCAGTACTGAACAAATGATACTTATGCTCAGTTCCTAAAATTATGGCCATTGCAGCATCCCCAAAGTCACATGATCAAAATTCAGGCCCTTGGCAATCCACCCAAGCTTACAACAGCAGAGGTGCTGCAACTCCCACTTGCCCATCTCTTCCCCCATCTCTGCAATTTTGGCGCCATGCACTCTGCAGTCCCTACTACCTTGCACTTTGTCATCCCCAGCTGACTTTTGGCATCTTCTTGCTCCTGCTACTGACCAAGCATACTCAGTCTGGCCTTCACGAGGGAAACCCTGACTGGGCAAGGCTTTCTTCCTGAGGCTAGTAGCAGCAGTTTCCTCATTAGAGGTGAGGAAGGCCTTGTGTGGCCAAGCAGTTGCTTCACAAAGGATCATGATGGGCATGCCTTGTAAGCAGCAGGAGCAAGAAGAGGGCAAAGGTCAGCTGGGACAGTGGGCCGCAGGATGGCGGGGCCTCAGAGTGCAGGGTGGCTGTGTGTTTGTGCTGCAGGGCCTGAAAGCAGGGGTTTCCTGGGGGGCTGGAGCTTCCCAGAGCAATGGCAATTTTGTGCTGGGTTCGACTGGGGCTTCCTAGGGTTTGTACTGCACTGTGGCTCGGGGACCTTTTGCAAGGAAGGGTGCAGGGTAGCCAAGATGGCTTGGGGAACCGAAGCTTGGGTCTGGGAGGACCAAGCCAGGAAGAGTTTGGATCAGGGTTGTTCTTCAGCGAACAACTGATGGGATTCAGTTAACAACAGCAATGGGGACTGCCCGGATTGCCACTGCTAAGCAATAGTTACAAGACACTGAGCTTTATGGCTGCATCACTTAATGATAGAAATTTGAATCCTGTCGTAACTCAAGGACTATCTATATACTGGACCTGTAGAAGCTGGAAACAAATATGAGTTAACTTTGTCTTCTTCTATGCCAGCCTACGATTTCCTCAAAATATTTACAAAAGAAATTATTTTTAAAATTTATATTAACACCCAACTCCCAACAACTCTGAGTGGTTCACAAGTAAACAAGGAATAAACCAATATTATAATAAACAAGAACAAGGAATAAAAGGCTACAAACTGGACAGGAATGGGGGAGAAAATCCACACCACCTAAAGGGGTCTTTAATCACGTCCCCAAAGCCTGGATGAAGAGCCAGGCAAGGTCACTCGAAATTCTGGCTGGGCGAGGCCATCTGGACCTTGTGGTGGAACCTAATTTCAAAGAGCAGGTGCCAGGCAGAAAAGACCCCAACTGATGGCATTAATTGAAAGAACCCAAAATGCACTTAGCTTGCTGGATCAAATCGGCTCTGCCCTACGCAAGGTGTTGTTTATAGGTAATGACCGGCACCCTGAATCGCACCTGGAAACAAACTGGCTACCAGTGCGGCTTGCAAAGTCGGAGTTTTACATGGGTATTCTGGGCCAGTTCCAGCTTTCAAGGGGTCTTCAGGGGCAGCTCCACGTACAGTACATTACAGTAGTCAAGCTATGAAGTGACTAAGCTCCGAGACTGTTAGGCCTCCAGATCCAGGAACAGGTGCAACTGTCACATCAGATGAAGTTGTGCAAAAGCCCTTCCTGGCCACAGCTACAGCCACTGATCAAGCAGGAGCTCCTAGGCCAGGGGTAGGCAACCTTGGCTCTTTGATGACTCGTGGACTTCAACTCCCAGAATTCCTGAGCCAGCCAAGCTGGCTCAGGAATTCTGGGAGTTGAAGTCCACGAGTCATAAAAGAGCCAAGGTTGCCTAGGCCTTCATGGGGGCCCCCCATAACGTTGTTTCGGGTTTCTAACATTCCTGTGTGAGGAACACACAGAGTGGGCCAAGCGACAGCGCCCCGGAGGTGCTCAGCATCGGGAGGGTCGCTCCCCCCCTAATCCAAATTGCCCTTTTCGGCTACAAGACCAGAGCAGCTGCCGGGTTTTTTTGGGGGGGGGGGGGAAGAATCCCACCACTCCAGTCTTCGAAGGGATCCAACCTTACCAGAAGACTCTCCCAAACTGGAAACCACAACGTTAATCGTGGTTGAGGATACACAACGGGAGCCCTCAGCCTGGTTTCATGCCGGGCGCCTCTTTTTTTTTTTTTTTCTTCTTCAGCCGCCTCGGGAGGAAGACTCAGCGTCGCGCTTGTAGCCGCGCAGGACCGAAGTGTCTCCTACTCTCTCCCCCCCCCCACCTAAAAAGGCAGACAAGCAGGCAGGCAGGCAGGGCACAGGTCAAGACAAGGCGCCTTTCGAGGCAGAGCTCCGTCCGGCGGAACTTTTATTTCCTCCTCGCCTCCGTCAAGTTTCCTCCTCCTTCCTCTTTTCTCGCTTTTGGCATAAAAGGAGACTCGAAGCTACCCGTCTCCTCAGCAAGTCTTACTCCCGAACAAGGGGGGGGGGAGGCGGGGAATAACCAATGGCCACCCGACTAAAAGGGCCAGCCGTTGCCCCGCCTGGAAACAACCAACCCCCGCGCGCTCCCGCACGAGACGGACCGGCTCCCTTTCCTCCTACCGGTCGCGCTCTCACCCGCGGAGCGCCTGCGTACCTCGCACGCGGCCTACCTCTCGCCGTTTGTGATCGCCGAAACCCCACTTCACGTCGCCCCGCTCGGCACCTTCCGCTCAGCCGGGCCGCGATGAATCAGCCCGATTCATTCAAACCCGGTGTAGCGTCTCAGGTCCCCCCACTGGAAACACTTCCGGGACCAAAGAGTGACACCCGCTCCTACTTTCAAGGCCCGTCTTCCGTTGCTTGCATTTGGCAGCCAATCGGGTGCTCGAGCTGGGAATCCCTAGCAACGGGTTGTCCCGCCCCGTCGCTGGTTCTGCCTGTCTTGAGCCGCGCGTTGGAGAATATGCTTCTTTCAGCCCAGGGGTAGTCAACCTTGGCTCTTTTATGACTCGTGGACTTCAACTCCCAGAATTCCTGAGCCAGCTAAGCTGGCTCAGGAATTCTGGGAATTGAAGTCCACGAGTCATAAAAGAGCCAAGGTTGACTACCCCTGAGGAGGCTGGTGGCTTTGGGGGTTATCCTCTGTCCTCTTTTGGTTGTAGGTACGCAGCATTTTTTTTTACTGATGTTAAAAAAGAGGATATTGCTGGAATCCTAAACCCAGTAGTATTGCAAGCCTTGATGCATAATAGCAGCGATTTGCAAAGATCAGTTATGGTGATTTATACACGGTGCCATTTTTTCCCCCTTTCCTTTATAGCAGGGGTCTCCAACCTTGGCAACTTCTGGGACTTCAACTCCCAGAATTCCTCAGCCAGCTTGTGGCTGAAGTCCACAAGTCTTAAAGTTGCCAAGGTTGGAGACCCCTGCTTTATAGAATGCTGCCCTTAAAATTTGGTATTGTCTGTATTGAAACACGATGGAGGTGAAATGGCTCTTAGGGAACATCACAGGCTGGATACTTTTTTGATTAATACAATGTCTTATTTCACTGAATAGGGCAGGAAGCAGGATCTCAAGGAATTATACATAGCAAAAAGAGGCATGTGAGTGCACCTCAGCCTTCCTCAAACTGGTCCATTGGCTGAGAGTTCTGTCATTCGGAGCAAACATGGCCTGTGGCACTTGCAGTTCAGGACATCCAAACAGGTCAGAGACTGATCCACAACACAGTACAATACAAAACACATCATCTAAGAAAATCTTTGAATTATCGTTCAGCTTCCTGTCGGGCTGTATTTTTTTAATTGGACCATAAATTATGTGCTGAGAAGCGTATTTAGAATTAAATTATGTTGGAAATACAGCTTTACTCTCTGGCATTTACAGCAAGGTGCCTGAAATTTCCGCCTTTTCATAACAAAAGGTCTCTTCTATGTTTATGCTGTAGGCAGTGGTGGGATTCAAATATGCGAACAACTGGTTCTCTGTATGGATGCCGCTTCCAGAAATCCATTCTGGGCCTGAGCAACAAAAAATTAGCTACCGGTTCTGCCAAAGTGGTGCGAACCGGCTGAATCCCACCACTGGCTGTATGGATTGGATTGACTGGGAATTGAGCCAATACAGCATTTCTTTCTGTTGAAAAGACAGTTTATAACTAGTGCGATGGTATTATGAAATTCCAGTGTTATACCCAGATAATCATCTTGAAATCACAGTCTCTTGCAGGTGCAAGAATTTACACCCCACATTCAGTTGCCAGACAAGGGGCTTCTTAATTCTTATCAATGGATGGAGCCATTCCAAGGCAGAAACTGATTTGCGTACCAAGCTGCTGCTTCCTTTGAGGTAAAAAAGCATCTATAGACATACCAAAAGCTATGGATCCGAGTTAATGTTTTCAAGTATCTATGCCTCCCAATTTTCCTCAGCTTTTCCATAATTATTCACATTCTCTGCCACCATGTTTATTGGCATTAGGGAGGGTAAATGAAATATTTACAAAAATAATATATTCCATCTTCTACATGTACTGTATAGGCAATTCTTTATGCATTTATTCAACTGTACATTTCAGTGTGTTCGTTCTGATGAATCCCAGTTAAGTCTGCTTGCATAGAATTATAAACTTAGTCATATATAATCTTGTATGATGGTAAAATTCATAAAGTCTAAGACTTACATACCATGTGATAATACTATGTTCAAATGTTTATGCTAAAACCCGTATTACACCAAAATAGAGGTAGTTGTTTCCCACATTCTCAAATAAGCAGATTCACATCTAAAACATTTCAACAGTTATTTTCATTTGATTTCATCTGATTCTTTTTTTAAAGAGCCTTAAATATTTGATTTGATTTCATCTGATTCTTTTTTTAAAGAGCCTTAAATATTGTATTGGAAAAGCAGAGTTTTTAACTCTGAATTAAATAGGACTTCTTATCTCTGGCTTGCAAAGATCCAGTGGTAAATTAATAATAATAATAATAATAATAATAATAATAATAATAATAATAATAATAATAATAATAATAATAATAATAATAATAATAATAAAGTTGGAAGGGACCTTAGAGGTCATCAAGTCCAACCCCCTGCTCACGCAGGTAACCCTATACCATTTCGGACAAATGGCTGTCCAGTTTCTTCTTAAAAACTTCCAGTGTTGGAGCATTCACCGCTTCTGGAGGCAGGTTGTTCCACTGGCTAATTGTTCTAACTGTCAGGAAGTTTCTCCTTAGTTCTAGGTTGCTTCTCTCTTTGGTTAGTTTCCATCCATTGCTTCTTGTCCTGCCTTCAGGCACTTTGGAAAATAGCTTGACTCCCTCTTCTTTGTGGCAGCCCCTGAGATATTGGAACACTGCTATCATGTCCCCCCTCGTCCTTCTCGTCGTTAAACTAGACATAGCCAATTCCAGCAACCATTCCTTATATGTTTTAGCCTCCAGTCCCCTAATCATCTTTGTTGCTCTTCTCTGTACTCTTTCTAGAGTCTCAATATCTTTTTTACATCGTGGTGACCAAAACTGGATGCAGTATTCCAAGTGTGGCCTTAGTTCCATTACTGTATCTCTCTCCTACTATTGTAACAGTTGTCCATACTTTTTGCTGTAGATATATAGCACTACTTTAAAGAAGTTCATAATTACAATATGGAACCATAAATAATAGAGTTGAAAGGGAACCTTTAGTTCTGGCCTGCACAATTTGTAGAGGGAAAAAGGCTACCATGATAAAAAGAATTGTGAGTCACAATGGAATACTGTACATGTTGATCAGTTGTTCAGTGACTAGAATTCCTGAGGCAGCATTGGAGTGGAGTATTGGTGATGCATTGTATGTGCTCAACACTATGTTTTTTGGGATAGTGAGGACAGATCGTTCTAGCAATGCGACATTTGGCAGTGGTGAGTTTATTGAAATTTTGAAAAATGCCAATGAAGCACACAAAGTTGCTTGGTAGTCTGTGATCCATATGTTGCATAGGCCTGCTTTAGTCCATTCCATCTAATTTCCTGTTCAGTGCAGGAACCACAGCTAAAACATCTTAGATAAATGGCTGCCTGGCTCAACACATGCATGGAAGGGAACCTAACGCCCCAATGGGCAACCAGTTCCATTGTTAAACTTTATTTATTAAATTTATGTAGCCACCCATCTCAACGCTGCAACGGTAGGTGGTTTGCATTACTAGTGGAAGAGTCTATCCAGAGCAGAATAGAATGGATTGTTGCTTCCTGTGATTTGGGAATTATACTTGGGTTAGTACAGACTAAAATTCTCCTTGCCTTGTTTTGCGGCTGTACATTCCTGCTTGTATTCATCATTTGCAATCAACCATTATTCCAATAACTTTTTCCATATTTTTCATTATTAATCAAGGAGTCTCCAGTCTTATAAGAGATTTGCATTTACGTCTCTTGAATTTAATTTGATTACTTTCTGGCAATTTCTTCCACATTAGCATCAAGGTTTTAATATTTTTGGAATCTTAACTGCCCCCCCAACTTTGTATCTTCTGTGGGAATCTGATAAACATGTCTTCTACCTCTTCACCCCAATTTATAATTACTGCAGAGCAGAGGACTCAGTATTGATTCTTGCGGTAGCCCATTTGATACTTTTCTCCAATTTGAGAAGAGACCACTGATTAAATTGTGGGAAGTCAACCCCCCCAGAGAAAGAAATATTAAAAGGGCAGAAAAATATATTTCCTCAAAGGATCTTAAAGAGTCAGAAAAGCATACCCAGTTTTTCTTAATAGCCCCAGGTCTCCCTCCTCCAAGCAGAAACCAGCTCTGTAGAAATGCAGATGGAGGCCCCCAGCTAGAAGATTAAAAAGACAAAGACACCTAAAATCTACATACCCCATTCAAACTTTAAGACAGGACATAATAGGATTAACCCACAGATGCCAAAGGGCACACCCAGACTCAGGTCAAAATACATGACACAGGAAATAGCCTCAAACAGGAACAGGAAACAACTCCAAACAAAAGGCTCAAGATGGTATAAAATCCCACTCCCTACATGTGCTCAGTCCTTTTTCTCTTTTCTGCCAGAGCCATCTTTCTGTCTGGCTCTCCTCTTCAATAAACTGTAAACTTCTTTCTAAAACAGTCGCCATGTTTATTCCCAGCTTGGACTGAACCACGATGAAGACTTTTCTTCCAACAAAATCTTACTGAGGCGGATGTTTGAGTTAGCTATGTATCCACTTAATTGGCATGCCAGTCACACTTCATTAAGCTTACTAATTATATATCATGGGATACTTTGTTAAGTGCTTTGCTGAAGTCAAATTATATGATATCTATAGTACTCTTACAATCTGTTAAGGAAGTTATTTAATTTAAAAGTGAGATAAGGTGACACTGCAAGATTTATTCTTGATAAATGCATGTGGACTTCTGGTTATTATCGCACTGTTTTTAGGTGTTTATAGATGGATCGCTTTATAACCCACTCTAGAATTTTCCCAAGTATCAAAGCCAGATAGATTGGTCTATAAGTTGTTGAATTTTTCTTTTCCCTTCTGTGAAGAGAGGGGAAAGATTTTGTATCTTCCAATTATATCCTTCAGGATTTTTAAAAGATCATGCCTAAGAGTTTGGCCAGTATTTCTATTACCCCAGGGTAGAATTCATTGTGTCCTGGAGATTTAACCTACAGTAATTCAGAGAGGTGTTCCCAAACCCTGTTTCTATCAGTCTCAAGTTTCAAATTTATTTAATTATTGAATTTATATGCTGCCCATCTAACAGTTGGAGTGACTCTCAAATTAGTCTTTTTTTTC